ACTGAAAACATTGAAGATGCTTCTAAAATAAATACAGAAAATGAAGTATCAGCGCCGGGTTCTGGAGGCGTTTTAACATCCTGAGTGGACTCACTGCTTTACCTGCTCACCGGGTTTCAGTGCAGAAACAACGAAGGAACGATTTTATCAGCAGCAGGATTGTATGTTTCTGCTCAGACGTCTCTGATTTCTCTGAAGTTTATAAAGATCTAAAATGTGTTTATGAAGATATTGGTAAAGTTGAAAGCTGCTCAGCAGGTTGTCGTTTTCTCACTGAAGCCTGTTTGGAGCTGCTGGAGACAGAAACCTGAATGTTCTCTGGTGTTTCTCACCATGTCGCTGTTCAGAACCTGTAATATCAGACAAGTTGATCACTGATGTGTTTGAAGGAGCTCATTAACACACGACCTGATGAAGCAGAACCAGTGATGTGTTCTGACCCACGTGGAGCTGCAGGTCTCAGTAACTCAGAACTAAACATTAGGAGACTTTAACATGAAAAACTTGGACACATAAATATGAATAAAGTTGTTTTAATGAAACGTTGGTGAGTGATGAGCAACAGAGAAGTGCTGGGAGCGAGTTTAAAATATTTCTCAAAATGGTTTTTATTTTCCTGCTCATTGATTTTTAATGTGAACTCGTTTTTTTTTCACATTTCAACTCAGAGATTATTGATCTACTGTCTAATATTTTAGGTTCTGAATCAGCCACATGATGAGAACATTTCAGGTTTTCATCTTCAACACTTCCTCAGAAGTTGTTTTTCAAACAGACTGAAGTGTCTGACATCTGAAGCTGAAACAGACATCATTTAAAATATTCAGAGTTTATGATCAAAAAGGTTTTAAGTGAATCAGAGACGGAGGATTTGAGATGAAGTCATCCCGTGATCGTCTCCGGCCTCCGTCAGCGTGTCGAGTCCGTCTTCATTTTCCTTCATGACTTCTGTTTCCGTCCAGACTGGAGGGAGGTGGACGGCCGGGAGCCCCGGAGACGAGGCCACATCGAGGCCATGGAGCGTCTGCTGCAGCAGGTCCGAGCCACCCACACCCACTACTGCTGTGGAGGTGAGTCCATGAAAACCAGGACGTCAGGTGACAGGTAGAGACCAGCTGCAGCTTCTGCACCAGCTGGACAGAAGTGTGTGGACGGCTGGATGTGTGATTACTGTGGTGTTGGTTCAAACGATGTCCAAATACTTTAGGCCATATCCTGTAGCTCCACCTGTATTGCTGCGTGAGGCGGATGAAGGAACCTTCAGTGTCTCCAGACGACTCTGTGTGAAGTCTGATGAAGACAATCAGTTTAAAAAATGTTGTCCTGACTTTGAACGCATCCTGAGTTGGAGTGTTTCACTGCTGGCCTCTGAGGCCGTCAGGGGCAGTCAGGGGCAATCAGGAGGGAAGAAGTTTCCAGTGTTTTACAGAATCTGGGGCAAACTCTTTATTTCTGGAGCGTATTGAAGAATAAAGTGATTTAATGAAATGTGGCGGCTTTAGACTCACATCTGGGCTTCTGATGGAAGCACACATTGCAGATGTGTAGTTAAATGACTGGAGGAAATCCAACAACTGTAAATGGATGAATGGTGCCGTTTTGGAAGTTTTTAAAAAGCAAAGCATGCCTTCCAACGTTTTTAGCAGTTTTTAGGATATTTAGCATATTTTGATGTTGTAATGAGATAATTTTATGTTATAGCAAAATATTTAGCTTTTGTACACACACACACATATATATATATATATATATATCGTCTGATATATACATGTATATGTATATATATACGTATATAGCACATCGTGATCCTGACAGAATGATGAGAAACCGACTGTTGTAACGAGACATGTTCACATGATGTCAGGTTTTATTGATCAGGACATGTTTCTGTTCTACCTCCATGTTATTTCATGTTACACTGTAATCAGATATTGTCCTTAGAATGAGGCGACATCCTGTCAGAGTGGAGTTTACTGCGTTATAACGTGAAGCGATTCATGTTCTGAGACGTCCAGCAGTATGTTATTATTACAGGACACGTCTCTCCTTGTTAGTCAAATGAAAATCATCTCGTTAGAACCATGAAACGTTCTGGTTCTGAAGTGGAACTGATCCGTTGTGGTTTCCATCAGTACGTTCGTCCAGGTTCTGTGTGTTTAAGCTGCTGTCGTAACTCCTCGTCCTTTCCTTCCAGCTGTTGTCACAACGCTAGTTAAAGCTGAGCTGTAGTTACACACAAACGAAGGTCAGAACTCACACGAGGCTCAGCTGAACCTCGTTAATCAGCGCCTCGGCCTGCAGCTCCGTCCTGCTGCTGGACCCACACCGAGTGTTTCCAGCCTCGCTCTGCTGCAGGTTGTGTAACGCTCAGAGGAGGCGGTGGGCAGCTCAACGCTCGCTTTCTGCTTCGTCTGATGACACAGCTGCAGAAGAAATGTGGTCATTAGTTCACACAAACACTGAGCTGCCGTAAACACAGGAAGGTTTGCTGAGAGCGCCTCTGACCAGAGTGAGAGTCGGACAAAAGCGGCCCAGATCCAACGGGCCGTAATTACAGCTTTCAGCGAGCAAACACCGATTTCACAGAGACACGAACGAACCTCCTCCGATGGAGGCCGAGCATCAGACGGAGCTGGAAACACCAGCAGCTGATGGGGGAGGCTGAGACGGGATGATGGGATGTTTCCCCGTTTTACCAACATGTGGTTCTGTTCCATCGACATGCTTCCTGTTTTAATGACATCGTGTTTTAACATGTTTCCCGTTATGACGACGTGCTGTCATGTCGGAATGAGATGTTTTATATTATTATTCAGAACTTCTCAGGTCATAAGATATCGATGCTACCAGCTGCTGACAGAGGACATGAACAGAACCAGGTCCAGTGTTCAGACTGAGACACCTGGATGGATGTAGAACTGATCTGGTGTCAGGTTCTAGCAGAACCCAGATGTGTTCTTCCTCCTAAATGTCATGTGTCTATCTGCTGTTCTGATGAAGTTCTGAGGCTCAGAAATGATGGAAAAAGTCCATTAAAGTGATCAATCTGGACCCTCCTCTGTGGACTTGAAGGACCTGGACCTCTGGAACATTCACAGTCTGAAGGTAGAACTCTGGTCAGTGGATAAAGGTTCTGCAGATCCAGAACCAGGTGTTCTGAGGAGGTTCTGGTTGATTTTAATACTTGATTTATTCAGAATGAGCTCATAGAGTCTCCTGATGTTTTAGTTCAGTCAGAAACCAGCTCCCCTCTCTCCTCTGTAGACTCTGTCTTCCCCCGTCCGTCCATCCGTCCATCCGTCCGTCCGTCCGTCCGTCCGTCCGTCCGTCCGTCCGTCTGTCCATCGTCCAGCGGCTTGTTGTTCACCAGCAGCTCTCCAGCGTGTTTACTTCAGCTTCAGTCTGTCGTCTGTTTACTGGACGATAATGACGTGACGGTTAATTAGCGCCAGTAAAAGGCCGCCGTGGTCTGCAGATTGGCATCGCTGAGGCTGGAGGCAGCGACAGGACGGAGATGAACCGGAGCCGATAAGACTCAGAGCAGCGTGGGAGAGAGCGCGACCCCGCCGACCTGGAACCAGCAAAACACCAGAAACACCGACGTTTGGATCGTCCGGGACACAAAGCGTCTTCAGGTGCAGTCCAGATGATCGATGGACGACGGTGGAGATATCTGGGACGACTTTGTACTGATTTGAACCATTTCTGAGTCCTTCTGGACATGTTCCATAGAACATAGAAAGACTTTATTTATCCCAGACCTGGGACCAGCAACAAACAAAAACACCAAATCACAACAAGAAAGGGCTGAAGCTGAATACGACAACAAAATAAAACATAATAAACTGACTGTACACAGAGTGAATGTTTTGGGACAGAATCTTGAGCTTTCTGACAGTTTTTTGGACAATGTTGGACTATTTAATTCCATTAGAGCCAGTTTTTATATATTGTGGGTAAGTTTGGGGTAATTTTGACCTTTTTTTTGTCATTTTTTGAATAATCTGAACACATTTTAAATCCTTTTACACAAGTTTCAAATCATTTTGAACATTTTGAACAATTTCTGAGTCGTTTTAAACACGTTTTCATTCAGACAAGGTTCAGGTGATTTTAGGGAAGTTTGTGGAGTAATTCTGGACAAGTAAACGTCATCAGGGACCATCCCGAGTCATTTTGGACAAATATTTGTCACTTTGAACAGTTCAAAGTTTTTAAATGTTTTGGACAGATTTCCAGTCATTTAGAGCGTTTTTTAGTCGTTGTGGACTCATGTTGTGGTATTTTGGGGCAACTGATTGTCAGTGTTGACACATTTCAAGTCATTTTGAAAACATGTTTTCTTCTGTAAAAATACCAGAATGACTCATTCATCAGCCAGAAGCTGAGAAACGTGCTGAGCACGAATGTTTAATCTGCAGCGTGAGGTTCTGTTCGGAAAAACAACTGTTTTCAGCCTAAAGTCAAGATATGTTGTCAAAATCATTTTAAAACATCAGCTGCAGGTGTCTCAGTGGTTAGCACC